ATTTCAAGAAAGTAGAAATGCCGTTCTACAGAAGGATGTTACAAATACTATGGACTCATCATGCGAACAATGATGAAGTTTAGAGGCAACAAAAGAACGCTTATTTACTGCTCACATCTGAAAGAGACGGTTGAAATGTCCAGGGCATGGTGAGGGGTTAGAAAATTTATAATCACAGGATATACTGAAACAAAAAAAAAAAATATAGCGTTTAACCTACTTAACAAACTTTTTTGTAAATGGTTTGGCAGAACGTTGTTTAGAGAGATAGCAAAACATGAAATATAATAAGGACAAGAAATTATTGAGAGTCATGATCACCAACGTCCTAAGTGAACATAGAAGAATAAGATGATTTTATAGCTTATACAGTTACCCAGTGCCCTATTGTATGGAGAGAAACTGGTGCGTTCTGTTCAAGTTCTTCTGGGAACATGTGTTCGCTTTCACAATAAATAAGCAAGAGAGGGCTCGATCGCTTTCCTACACATATAACGATTAACACAAGGCTGGAATGGTTATTTAACTTTAGATTTTAATCAGTTTAATTGTACGACAATTCTGAATTAAATATGGTTATACGGGCACTCTTGACTCAATCATATAAAATCTCATTGCTATCGAAACCCCAAGAGCAACACTTAGTTTTGTGAAGGTGTGACCCTATACACTAAAAAACAATCGACACAGTCAACATGTTTGATGGGAGATGAAGAGCACAACAGACAAATTCAGAAGGCAATGAAAAATTAGGCAAATTATCCAACATGTATATAATTTGTATAAGGATAAGTTGTCATCCTAGAAATTTGTAATGGAAATGATTGTTTTATATTCATTTTTTTTTTTTTATTGAATCAGTCAGTTAGTATATCTATTATTATTTTCTCTCATATTTTCAGCATTCTGACGATTTCGTTGCTGGAGTGATGAATATCTTTTGTCGATCTCTGTTTCACTTGAATATTACCAAAATTCATGTCTCGATTTCAAAACTGATCTCTAATATCTCCTGTGAAGCTACCGATTGTTTATCGGAATATAATGAATCATTTTCTCTGATATTCAGTTAGCACGTTGCCGTTGTAAATTAATGATTAATTAATCATACCATATCTATATCCGTTTCGGAAGTCACGAAGGCATTATTATGTATATTAATAGTCAATAACAACATATTTCTAAGCAGACCGCTACTGCATGTTAGCTATTAAATTAGAAGACACGAGCTGAAAAAATAATAATATATGAATGTATGAAAATCACAAATTAGCAACGTTTAACCTGAAGGCATTCACAGTTTCAAAAGAATTTTAAACGGCATTCATTTACACGCAATAATTTAAAAAATTTTAAAAAGTGTTACTATTTCTAACTGTACCGTTTAACCTTTACCACGATGTTTTATTTAATGCCGGATTAAGATAATGTTTTCTATCTGGCAGTCAAACGTATCTCTTCAGCGCAACCGAAATAATCTTGTTCTATATAAGACAAATAACATTACAATAGGAAAATAAAATCTTTCTTCTTATACGAGTTTTATTTAACCAAATCCAATCGAAATATGAATGATTCACAAATTATAATTAATTAAGAAAATATCGCAAAGAGTTGATTCAGTTCATGTGGATGTAGTTAGCGGAAACTGGAAAGTTAAACTTTTTTTTTTTAAAGAGAAGACAAAAGGAAAAAGATATTGTTGTTGGGCACACACACAAGATAGACACACACAAAAGCATACACATACTGACAGAGAGAAGAATGCTATTGAGATACGGAGAGAGACACAGAGTGTTCTCGGAGAGTTACATAAGAATCCATATCTCTCTCTCTATATATATATATATATATTCGCAGTCCTGACTACTAATATTCACTTAATGTCTGTAATCTTACGTTTAATACAATTATTTTTCCATCTTAGTTACTGGCGTTTTTTATTTTTTTTTGTGCAGAATTCCATTCACGGAATCCACAACTGTGCGACGAGAATTTCGCATTTCACGGGACTTAAAAAAAAATTGCCATTGCCAGCGTCCACAATAAATTGGCGACGATGACTTCGGACCCAAACGGAAAAAAAAAATTCTCTCTCGTCAACACAACTTGACGACGTAGAGTACGGACACGTACGGGAAAAAAAATTTTTTTTTCGCTCGCCAACACAATAACTTGGGGACGGAAATTCGAGGGTCACATCGACAACAACAGCTTGGCGACAAGACTCGAAGGAACTCACACAGAGAACAACAAATTAACGACGGACATAAAAGAACGTACACAAGAGATAGAAAACAAAATTTCGTCACTCCCTAAAAAATGGAAGATTTTCAAAAAGCAATGCTTGAGTTTATAAGAAGAAGTGAGGAATGACAGCTAATAAATGAAGAAAGACAAATGCAACTCCAGGAATTAATATTAAAAGTAACGGTTAACGCAAAACAGAAGAATATCGAAAAAGAGGCGACTTTTTCTCAAGACTCAGTGTGGAACACAATAGAAACATTTAAATATTCTCTAGAAGATGATAAAAATTTCGGGGACTATTACAGACGTCATGAAGACATTTTCAACATTGATTGCCAAAATTGCTAAGAAGCTACGTTTATTACTCACGAAATTGGGAACAGAGGAGTACACAATAATTTGTGGACTATATTCTACCGAAAAAAGACAAACGATTTGACGTTTGACGAGGCAGTTACATGCTTTACGGAGCTCTTCAGTCCAATGACTTCACTTTTTCACAAAAAATGGTAATGTATCAACCTCTTAAAAGCGAAAATGAGGACTACTCCACGTTCGCCGCAATTGTGAAAAAAACATTGCGATGACTTTAAATTGAAGAATTGACTCCGGACAATTTTAAGTGTCTTATTTTCGTACAGGGATTAGTCTCAGCCAAGTACATACAGTGAAATGCAAAAAAAGAATGTCCACGAAGCTTCAAAACGAGCCTGGATTAAAGCTACAAAAAAATGTCAGAAGACTGCCAAAAATGCTTGAGCATAAAATAAGACTCTAAGGATATGGAGGAATTGGGAGTAGAACAAAAAGTTACGTTTCCCCATCACCACTACCAAAAGAAAAACAAAAAAAAATTATGATAAAGAAAAAAAATTCAAGGTATAAGGCGATTAATGACAGAGATCAAAGCAAATATAAGCCCCCCACCTCCATCTGCATGTTACAGATGTGGTGGATTCTACTGGAATAAAGACTGTCGATTTAAATACAAGAACTGTTTAGCCTGTGGAAAATGGGACATAAGGCATCTCAATGCAGAAACAAAAAAACACTAGTAGGGTAAGAACTGCTAGAATGGACTACGAAGACAAACTAAACACAAGAAAATACGTGGAACTCGAGATCTTAAATAAGAAGGTAAAATTACAGTTAGACTCAGGATCGGATTTAACTATAATTAATTTACAGACATGGAAGAAGCTAAATAGACCGACCATGATGCATACACAGAAAATCACCAAGTCTGTTACAGGGAGGCGTATCAATTTTGAAGAAGTAATTCTAAACGTAAAATTCCATGGTAAAACGAAAAAATTGAAGATATTTGCAATGAAAGGCACAGAAAATTTGGTGGGCACGGATTGGATGCAAAAATATGACGTATGGGATTTACCCATTAGCACATTTTGCAAGAAAATAGAGTGCGAACAGTAAGAAGCTACAAAATTAAAAGAACTACACAGGTAATTTCCCGAGGTATTCTCGAGCGGTTTGGGACGATGTAATAAGTTTTCGGCTAAAATTGAACTAAAGGAAAATGTTCAGCCAGTATTCAAGAAAAAGCGAAACGTGCCTTTCGCAACCACAGAAAAAAATGGACAAGGAGTTAGATAGATTGGTACAAACTGGAATCCTTTCAAAAATCAAATTTAGTGAATGGGCGGCACCAGTGGTCTACGTAAAGAAAAATCCGGAGAAACACGTGGACTGGGTTAAATAAGGCCATCAAGGATTATCACTGCCCATTGCCAAGCCCGGTGGAAATATTTAGCAAGCTTAACGGTGATAATGTATTTTCTAAGATTGATTTAAGCGAAGCTTATCTTCAGATTCCAGTAGAAGAAGAAAGTACAAAATTTTTTTATGTATCAATACTCACAAAGGGCTTTACAAATTTAACAGATCGCCATTTGGGATAAAAAGTAGCATCGTCAATCTTTCAACAGACTATGGATACCATGCTCATGGGACAGAACTTTGCTACTGATTACTTAGACGACATTTTAATCAAAAGCGAACACGCAACGCATATTAAAGAAGTGTTTAAAAGAATTCAGGATTTTGGTTTTAAAATGAAGGAGAAAAGATGCGATTTTTTTCTAAAAGAAATCAAGTATCTCGGCCATATAATCAATGAAAGTGGCAGAAAACCAGATCCAGATAGGACATCTGCAATAAAATTATGCCTGAGCCGAAAAATGTCGCAGAGTTGCAAAGCTTTCTTGGTCCAGTGAACTATTACGGTGAATTCATTTTATTTTTTTGGGAAAGGTATATATTAACGACCTCCCCCAGCCATGGGCAAATTAATAGAACTTGTATCAATAAAGATGATCATTATTTTGAAAAAGCTTCCCAAAATGTAAAAAAAAAGGTTTTTGAATAACCTACAAATGGTTAAGCCGTGAAAAACCAATGAATCAATGGAACTTTCATGTTTCCAAAGGATTAATGAATTTAGTTTTAATCCTGCATTTATATTATTCCATATAGTGGAAAATTCAGATTTAAAATAGATCCCAATTTTTTCTTTATTACAATCTTTACTAAGATTTCTCAAATGCACGGCAAGACATACTTTTAATAATATATAAAACTCCGACATATTTTCAATACAAATATCAAATATAACGTTTGAAATAGTATATATATATATATATATATATATATATATATATATATATATATATATATACTCTTTGCAAAACCAAAATGAACACAAGTAGAAAAATATTTAATAGAAAGCTATTATGAAATATTGTAACCAAGTCATCTATCTATCTATCTATCTGTCGCTACGACATCTCGATATTTTACAATCTGTTCATTTATAGATATGTTTGCTTATGTATCTCTTTATTATACTAGCTCAGTAGTCTATCTATCTATCTATCTATATTACAATAACATCTCTCTATCTATATTACTATAATATCTCAGGGTATCTATCTATATATCTATCTATCTATCTATCTATCTATCTATCTATCACATTACAATCTATCTCAAACATATCCCGATATCTTACAATCTGTTTATTTATCTATATGTTTTTTTATGTATCTCTTTAATACAATATCTCAGATAGATAGATAGATAGATAGATAGATAGATAGACTATCTATCTATCTTACAATCTATCTCTATGATATCTCACAATCTGTTCATCTATGTTTATGTATCTTTACTATAATATCTCAGTCCATCTATCTATCTATCCTTACTATATCGCACAATCTTTTCATCTATGTTTATATATTTCTTTACTATAACATCTCAGTCTATCTATCCTTAGATAATAATACAGCCTATGTCCATATCTTGAGATCTTACAATCACTTCATATATCTATATGTTTGTTTATGTATCCCGTTGCTATAATATCTCAGCCTATCTATCTATCTATCTATCTATCTATCTATCTATCTATCTATCTATCTATCTATCCCATCCCCCTGTTCTATATCTATCTATCTATCTATGTCAATACATATAACAGAAAAAACGATGTAATTGATTAACTTTATCTTTATCCAACTTTCGTATTTACCATGTTCAGATGTTTCCATCCAGAATCTATCTATCTATCTATCTATCTATGTCAATACATATAACAGAAAAACGATATAATTGATTAACTTTATCTTCATGCAACTTTCGTATTTACCATGTTCAGATGTTTCCATCCAGAATCTATCTATCTATCTATCTATCTATCTATCTATCTATGTCAATACATATAACAGAAAAACGATATAATTGATTAACTTTATCTTCATGCAACTTTCGTATTTACCATGTTCAAATGTTTCCATCCAGACTTCTATCTATCTATCTATCTATCTATCTATCTATCTGCGGCGGTCTTTTTCATATCTTTTCATATTATCTATCTATTCCACCCTGTTCTATATCTATCTATCTATCTATCTATCTATCTATCTATCTATCTATCTATCTACCTATCTATCTATCTATCTATTCCGCCCTGTTCTATATCTATCTATCTATCTATTCCACCCTTTCTATTCTATATCTATCTATCTATCTATCTTTCCTATCTATCTATTATTAGTCTATAAACTCAACCTTTTAAAAACTAGTAAATGATATATGGCTGGGTGAACTGGCTGTGTTTCGACACGTTTAATGTAATCAAGGACGAAAGAGAGATACAGAGAGGTAGAGAGAGAAAAAAACAGATGTAGAGAGAGAGAGAGAGAGAGACAGAGACAGAGACAGAGACAGAGACAGAGAGATAAAGAAAGAGTGAAAGATATGTACAAAAGAAAGATTTATTTATTCATTTTAAAGAGGACCTCTTCCAGGCTCTATGGGTTGCATCGCATCTTTGCAACGGAGCGTTGTTCCCAGGAAAGACAAACCTAGGGTGCAAAGAGGAAATAGCGCGCGCAAATGCTCTTTGCAAAAATCCGCTTTCTGTCTTCCATTCACGATATGCTTACTGGTCACATGATATGCTTACTGGTCACATGATATGAACGTTGCATGGTCTAAACAGCATCTGTATGACTTGAACTTTGTTATAGGATCTCCCAGGTCTCGTGTTGTCCCCTTCAGGCATGTCCTTTTGCCTGGATAGCAGACACGTACCTTTAAGGCACGTCAGTCTGAACATACCTGAATGAAATCATCTTCCGGCATCTATCAGAATATATATATATATATATATATATATATATATATATATATATATATATATATATATATATTAAAACATGAAAACAAGACACAAAAACTAAAAATTCTCAAGTTATGTACATAAAACAGTTGAACCCCTAACCTGAACAAAATAAATGATGTTCTCTGTCTCGTCTCTTTTTGTGTGTATATATATATATGTAGAAAAATATGTCTGGGTGCTTATATGTATAATCTGATTGCGTTTGTTTTACGCGTGAGTTTAGGACCCCATTCACACACTTTAGGATTAAAATGTATACATTGTCAAAGGACCAGATATAAAATTAGCTAAAATGTAACTTCAATGAAGAAATAAATTGAATAACATATATATTTCTTCTTTTCTCCTCAATAATTTTATAGTTGTAAACTTTATAGCGATTAAATTTTGATTTTGAAATTAGCAGTTTTTAATTTTAATATCAAATTTTATTATAATTTAGTAATTATTGGTTAGAATAAATTGTTTTTAATACTACCCATATTTTAAACATCTGAATAGCTATTATAACATGACTTCGTTGTCAAGCTTTTGAATTTTCCTATACTTGTATTTTGATTGGTCCATCTAGCTTTTGTAACAACGTTTTCCCCTTGTGAAAGATTGTTAATTAATTTGAAACTTTTAAAACCATTTAGGTTACATTCAACATCATCACTTGATAAGACACCGGGGTGTTGAAACAAAATGGCTATTTTTGTAGTGATTTTATAACATGTTTATGTTATAAATTTTTAAAAAATAAATAATTATATATATATATATATATATATATATATATATATATATATTGGCTAGATGTTTTTCATTAAGATATGTCTCGAAGATTGCGTTTTCATTTGATTGATGCATCAAAAATCTATCAACATTTACAGCATCATACCTGCCCATATTCGCAATTTAGAAAAATTCTTCTTGAAAATACTTCTATATATTTTCATGTAAATAATAAACTAAACATTCTTGAAGCTATCTGTATTAAAACCTGAAACTAAACTGTAATAAAATTAAATGGAAATGAACAAATGTTTTAAAATGTTCACGGTAGATAGTTTAAAACCCTATATATATATATATATATATATATATATATCGATTCCTAAATCAATATATATAAAAAATAGGATTCGGATAAAAACAATTCAATTCAGTTCAGAATCCATTACATTCATTTTATTATTCACTAAGTTATTAATCCTCCTCTTCCTAAAGGTATTGCTAAAATTACAAGGACATCAATCTATAACCTTGGATGTCAACTGGTCCGATATTTTGTACTAGATTCAATATATATAATAATATATATATATATATATATATATATATATATATGCAGGTAAATGGAATCTAGAACATTAGGACACCAGGTCTTTATATTGGGTCCTTCAAAAAAGTGTGGTTCGTTCTGGAAAGCCTTCATTACTATAATCGAATAATATGAATTGTTCTCTGGCTGGTTCTTAAATTGAGCTGCTTACCCTCACCGTCAAACACGCCGGGAGAGTCCACGATATATATATATATATATATATATATATATATATATATATATATAAATAGTACTTGAAGTCGGACTAAAAGCCTCATCTTTGTCGATTCATATTTGTCAGAACATTTCGGCCGTTGTACGCTCCGGCCTTCTTCATGTATGGTTGGAATTTCGAACTGAACCCTTTATTTCGATCACTGGTGTAACTGCTCTAGTTCAGGAAGTTCATACGCAGATGTCCTCATGGTCACATGGCACAGTGGATAAAAGCGTTGGTTAGATCCGGTGACAGACCCAAAAGAATTCTGAGTTCAATACCTGGTTAAGGCAGTGGAGAACTTTCAGAGGGAAAAAATGTTTCGTAACTGATAACTGACATCCATCAAACATTTCCGTGGAACCGACGGCATTTTAACCTAAGGTTGTAGGGTTAAAAATATATCGTCATATATATTAACTGTCGTCTGCGTAGATGACGACTTGAGAGTGAATTGTTAATGAAGATCAGAAACATATAGGACTCAGGATGGGAAAAGCCTTGGAAAACAAGCGTTTTTAAGCAAACATTGAAAAAAAGACCTTTTTCATTTTCACGGTTTGACAGGAATGATTGTTCTGAAATCAAATAAACGTCCTACTCAATGCCGTATTTAGCTAAGGTTTGTGTAGAGGCCGGCATGCCAAATCCTCTGAATCTCGCTTCAGTATCTTCAAATGCCACAGCTCGAGGCTTTGATAATGGTTTTGAATAATGGCCCGTAAGCATGTGGGGGAACCGGACGTTTGTAAATTCCTCTTTGGGTTAATGGTGTTCAACTTGATTTAAAGTGAACCTAAATCCTTAGGCGTTCAAAGGCCCCTCTTTGGAGAACAGGTGTACATTGGGATGAACCAACAATTCTACGTCTACGTATATTATCAATGTTAAAAATCGCCAAAGGTCAGTTCATTGATTGTTTTGTGTCGTGGTGTGACCCTCTAATGAGTCTAATAAGAGGCATTTTTTTTCCACTTTATATAAAATTAGTAGGAAAAATTAAGCCTAGGGGAACAGTCTAATAGATTGAACGCTGGTCAACTCGACCCATTCGTGTAATAATCTTCTGTTGTGTGTAAACACAACAGAAGATTAATACATTCAATACTCGTTAATTGATTCAGCCTTTTGTACATTGTTATCTTTTAATCATTTACTTGGTTACAACAAAGTGTTTTACGGATTATCAAACCTTTTAGGTTATTTAAAGCCAGAAAATCGTTTTCATTGGTCAGATTTTTTTGGAGATAATAATAATTTAAAATTCAAGTCTTACTAATTAATCCCCAATTTGTTGGCTTTATGGAAAGTTAATAATATCATACAGTACCACAATTTGATAAACAAGAAATTATAATGTGGATATAAGTGATGTTTAATTCTATTTACAATCAATAAATATTTGAACCTTTATTTAGTAGCCACGGTAGTGTCCATCGATTCATATTCTACAGAATATCTATTGAATCTAAAAGGCATCCTGTGTCACTAGAGTATTTTATTGATTGGTTGAAAGGCATTACGGTTTATCCCGACATTCGTTGCTAATCTTTAAACAACTGTCATTATTTTAGTTTGTAAGGGTGGGGAGGATATAATTGCCAAACACTGATAAAGTCTTACGAATTAATCTGGCAAAATCTGGAGGAGATGAGGTGGATTCATACCGTCCCCAGGTATCTGTAAATTTAAAAATATAACAAGCGGCTGGAATTTGAACTCGATTCTCCATTTACCATATCCTTTACAGTAAATTATTCTCAAAGATCGACGTTAGTAATAACTTCGTTGATCGAACGAGAACCGGTGTGTTCAACGTCAAATGTGCCGTACACCTAATTTCAATGTGTAGCGTCGAATATTATATTGCTGGCATGTACCTAATACCTGCAAGCGAGATTAGATATGATCAAACAGTATATTAATATGGGTTGTCTAAGTCCGGCTGATAAATCCCCTTGTTTTGGAACCTGTGCACGTCCTGAAACAGAATATATAATCACTTACTTTGATCGAAGGATATAAGTTGCAGTTTTCCAATTTGAGTATTTTTGAGACACTTATTACATTTTATTATAATTTTATATCTCACTTGTCTGAAGGACTTTTTCCTTTTCTCTCTCTCTTCCTCTCTTTCTCTTTCTCTATCTTTCAAATTATATAAATCTCCTTCTTTCATATATCTCTATATATATATATATATATATATTTACATACATATATATATATATATATATATATATATATATATATATATATATATATATAATATATATATATATATATATATATATATATATATATAAATATATACATATATATATATATATATGTATATATACATACATACATATATATATATATGTTGAAGCTGAATAAGCATGGAATAATAATAATACAACACAAAATGTACGTAACAAAATGTATTGAAACAATGAAAAAAGGTAATACAATATTTACAGGTAGTTTGGTATATTCTTGGGAAGACTGTTCCTGCAGAATGGGTTGAC